CGACCAGTCTTAGTTCTATATTGGTTCGTTGGCCCTGCTGGCGCGGTGTCGTGAAATACAGGTGGCCGTCAACGGTTGGCGTGTCAAGTACTGGAGGGCGAATGCTCAAAAATAGGGAGAGACTATGTCAGGGGAGGAACGGCTTTTTTCTTGACAACTAATCAACTTGCATAAGGAGTATTGTATGCGTAGCGTATACGCTCAACTGCTCTGACAGAACTCGAAAGCATGCCGCATTCCGAAACCAAGGTTTCGCAAATTATTACAGCAACATTTTGTAGTGCATAGCGAACTGAGTTCAGCGATGTTTTCCACTTCCAAAAAAATGTCCCCTGACCTGACTTGAAACGAAAGAAAATAACGCAGAATCCGTGAATCGCGTGGATTTGTATTCAAACGGTGAGTACTGTACTATGAGGAATGACACACTGTAGGAAGTATTTTGCCAGGTCAAGTGATCTATGTTCCGCACACATAGCACACTCATCTATGGTAAGTGGACCTGTGCCGCCTTTCTACTTGTTTTGGCAGCATACCATCGTTTGCCTGATTCAGGAAAAATTTAATACCATAATTTCGTTGACACCAGACACAGACTCAGCCACGAAAACTTGTGTTGGTAGAAGACCCCTCTGGGAAACTCGTTCAGCAAATAAGTAATGCACCTCTAATTCAGCTCTACCCTGAATAGGAAAGAACGGAGGTGCTTTACACTCACGATTTCTGATAAATTGATTTGCTCATATCATTGTATTAGCTAAATGTCATTAGTACAGATGAGCTGCTCCGCTCGTGCAACGCAGGATCTCCAAATTCTTCAAACAAAGAGCTGCAAACTTTATCTTACCTGTGTGCAGCATCAACAAATGACACCCATTACAGAGTCAAGATAAGTTCTTCGTCCACCTTGGTCTTCTTTTCACTTTGCTTAATTTTGTCAGAATTAAAATATCTATAAATGGGTCCTGGTTAATCTTAATTTTGATATGTTCGTCAACAATATCCTATACGAAAGCGCGTAATCGACCTCATTTAAGCAGACATATCTACAATGAAATTATACTGTCAGCTTCGAGCGCATTTTGTTCCCTGTTTAGGAAGATTGATATTGGTACCTGATTCAACACATCAGGTTTCTTGAAGAACCCGTGTCATTTCGCTATTTCAACGACGTGACACATGGTGGACGAAACAGCTGATTAGTTCATGAAAAGATAATGGTTCATCAGTCTGAAATTGACACATTCCACATTTCCCCATGGAAACTCCTATAAAAACCCATTATATCCGTAATCGGAAGAG